TATTTGTAATATTCATATATTTTCACACATAAAAACTTTTAATATTTACATAGTTACACATTTCAATAACCATTTATTAGACACATTTTTTACAATAACAATTTTTATTTTCGATATTTTTCGAACTTTTATATGTCCACATATTTAGATTTTATTATTTTACAGTTCTTCTGTATTTTTAAACCTGTTTTATGGGGTTTAAATATAAATTATTTATTTTTATATTTAGATAATATATTATATATATATGTAAAATATATAATATATATAATTTAATTTATAAATAATTTAATTTAAATAAAATATATTAATAATCTAATATAAATAATTTAATATATACAATAAATATAATATATAATACATATAGTTATTAATATCTATTAAATGTGTTATATATTACACATATTTCAAATATATAATTATTTATATCTATATTTAAAATAAATTTGCATAATTACATAAATACACATGTCCCTATATATGCAAATTCATGCAAATGAGGTCAATGCCCCCGCCCTCCTCAGGGAAACCGCCATTAATTTATGCAAATGAGGTCAAGTAGAGGCACTGGCTGATGCAAATTTATGCAAATGAACCCCTTTTCCCACAGGTTGGAAATGGGAGGAGCCTCAAAGAGCCGCCTCAAAAGGGGGCGGAGCAAACGGGTTATTCTGATTTATGCAAATGAGGCTGGTGAAGGAATGCGTGTCCATGCAAATTTATGCAAATGAGCCCGTGCTTCCCACCCCCTGCTCAAGGAGGACCCCCCCCAAAAACTGCCCCCAAAGGGGGTGGGGCCAACGAAACCCCTCATAATTTATGCAAATGAAGGCAATGTTACTATATTTGCATAAATCCATGCAAATGAGCTCGTGGTCATTTGCATAAATGTATGCAAAGGAGCCCCCTATGCTCAGGGGGGACACCCTCCCCCCAAAAAATGCCGTTCACAAGGGGGCGTGGCCATCAGGCCCCACCCTGGCGGTGACCAATGACAAGGCAGACACGTTGGATGTATTCAAATCCATGCAAATTTATGCTAATGAGCCCCCTTGCTCCTCCCACTGCTCCGGCGTCAGCGTCCGGTGCTCCAGGGCGTGGATCCGGCCCAGCTCCTCCCCCAGCGCCTCGTTAACGAGCCTGGCGGGTAATTAAAGGCTTGATTAGCACCCACCCACAACTAGGCCCCTCCCCTTAGCCCAGAGACCACGCCCTGTTAAGGCCCCGCCCCTCTGTTGATGCCACGCCCCTCTTTGGGTGTCCCAGGTCCCCCAAATCCCTTCCCGCGGTGACTCCGCCCTCCTCCCTTTTGGCTCCACCCCCCTTGCCATTCCCTCTTTAGCCACGCCCCCTTATCCCACACCCTTTTGTTTTGGCCACGCCCCCTCCCAGTATCTCCACCTCTGCCCTGCCCATCTTCGCTTTAGCCCCTCCTTTGGACCACGCCCACCCTCTGACCACGCCCCCTCCACTGTTGACCACGCCCTCCCCCAGGCCACGCCCACCCTCAGGCCCCGCCCCCACCGGTGCCTCTGGAGGGTTTTGAGGCCCCGAAAAATTTCGGAGACGACGACGAGGCGAAAACTGCCCGGGCACAGCTGGGGGGGGGCACGACACCTCCTGAGGGGTTAATTAACGCTAATTAGTGCTCATTAATATTCATTAATGCTTAATAGCAGCCATAAGTATTCATTAACTACCAATTAACCACAATTAAACACCCCCCAAGGATGACAATCCCAATAAAACCCCACATTCCGGGGGTGATTAACTCTAATTAACGTTCATAAGAGTAATTAACAGCCAATAAATACCAACCAACCACTAATTAACTGATTTATTCCAATTAAAGCCCAGGTACAGCTACGGGGCCCAGGACTCCCAGGTATTAATTAAACCCCCCCAATGGACTAATTAACCCCCTCAATGGACTAATTAACCTCTCCCAGTGCTAATTACCCCCCTAATTAGCGTTAATTGCGCACCACGTGCACGGCCTGGAGCCGCTCCCGGAGCCGCTCCCGGAGCTGCTCCGCGTTGGGCGCCGCCATTTTCGCTTCCGGGATGGCGTCACTTCCGGTCAGCGCGGGGCGCTCTGGGTAAGCGAGGCGGAAGCGGAAAAGGAACCAGTTTGGACCAATGTGGACCAGTACGGACCAGTGCTCCCACTACGAGCTCCCAGTACTAACCAGTAAAGGGCACGGGGAAGCTCGCGGTGCATCGTGGGCAGGCGGCGGGACTCCTCACACCCATACCCGGAAGTCCCTCAATAACCGGAAGTCCCTCCACAACCGGAAGTCGCTCCATACCCGGAAGTCCCTCCCGTCTCTATGCCCCCCGCGCGGTGCATTGTGGGCCGCCGGCGGCTCTCCCGGCCCCGCCGAGGCCTCCCAGCGCTCCCAGTAACTCCCAGTATCTCCCAGTAACCCCCTTCCGCCCCCCCATAATGCGGGCCGTGTATTTGCTGCGCTCGGGGGCCCCCCGGGGCCGCGGCCGAACCTACGTGGGGTTCACGGTGGACCCGCGGCGGCGGCTCCGGCAGCACAACGGGGGGAGGCGGCGGGGGGGGG